ACACACACACAGAAAGTAAGTGTTGGCAAAGATGTGGGAAAATTGCAACTCTCATATGATGCTAATAGGAATGTAAAATGTTTCAGCCACTGTGGAAAACAGGTGGTTTCTAAGAAGCCAAATGTAGAATTCCCATACAACTAACAATTACCTCTTAGGTATAGACCCAAAAGAACTGAAAACAGGTATTCCAACAAATAATTTTGCGCTCATGTTCATAGCAGCACTATGTACAATGGCCAAAGGTGGAAACAATTCAAATGTCCATCAATGAGTGGATGAACAAACTGTGGTATATATATATATATATATATATATATATATATATATATATATACACACACACACACAATGGAATATTACTCAGCCACAAAAAGAAATGAAGTACTACAATGCAAGCTACAGTGTGGATGAGACTCAAGCATTATGCTAAGTGTCCAAAGAAGCCAGTCACAAAAGGCCACATCTTGCTTGATTTCATTTATACAAAATATCCAAGACAAGTAAATCCATAAAAACAAAATACAGATTGGTGATTATCTGGAGCTGCAGAGATAGAATGGAGTGACTGCTTAAGGGTCATGGGGTTTTCTTCAGGACAATGAAAGCATCTGGAACTTAACACCAGCGGTGGTTGCACAACATTGTGGATGTATTAAAGGTCACTGAATTGTTTGCTTTAAAACAGTTCATTCAGTTTATGTGAATTTCCCCTCATTAAACAAAAGAGAGAGAGCTGGTGACTTCAACTTCCAGTCAAGGTGGAATACGGGGAACTAGACTCACCCTCCTACCTGAAACAAGCAGAAAGGAACAAAAAATGGTTTTGAAGATACCAGATGTCCATTAACAAAGAACAGCGATTCCCTGAGGGATGGAAAACTAGTGAGATGAGGCTTGTAACAACCCCACTCATTGCCCTGAGACAGTTTCCAGACCTCAGCACAGGGAAGGGGAGACGTCCTCAGCTGAGAGGCAGGGGGCAGAACCAAGGCAGCTGGAGCTCACAGGATGGAATGCAAAAGAGAATTCTGCACACAGAAAGAAGTTCAAACACCTGCAAAGCGTTCCCCTTGGGTATTCAATTGAGCACTATAAAGTGTGTACATGTGGAGAGACTATCCAAGGCCAGGAAAAGAACCACCCAGAAGATTAGAGGTACAAGGGCCCTGTTCTCACCAGCCACACCAAAAAGCCTCAAGCTTCAAGGGACATCAGTGGAGTACAACAAAGTGTTCTTACCCTAGTGAGGGGGAACAATTAGACTGTCAGAGCATTGTTCTCATTCTGACAAATCTTAACAGCAAGAGCTGAAAGAATCAAACTGCCTCTAGATAACCTATTTCTCAGAACAGAGTTCCAGAATATTTATAGGAATACAAAATATCCAGCACTCAGTGAGGCATCTAATCAAAAATTACTAGGCATGGAAAAAAGAGGAAGGACCATAACGAGGAGATAAGTTAATCAGCTGCAACTAATCCAAATGGTAGAATCAGACAACAATGATATAAAAACTTTTTTTTTTATATTTAAAAGGAGAACTATCATCTTTGAGAGCTGCTGCTTTTACTTTTCTTTCATTTTATTTATTTGTTTTAGAGAGAGTGGTGGGGGAGGAGCAGAAAGAGAAAGAAGTTTGTTTTTTTAATTTTTTTAATGTTTACTTATTTTTGAGAGACAGAGAGTGAACGGCAGATGGGCAGAGAGAGAGGGAAACACAGAATCCGAAGCAGGCTCCAGGCTCCGAGCTATCAGCACAGAGCCCCTGACACAGTGCTGGAACCCACGAACTGCAAGATCATGACCTGAGCCAAAGTCAGATGCTCAACCAACTGAGCCACCCAGGCACCCCTAGAGAGAATCTTAATCTTAAGCAGGCTCTACACAGAGCATGGAGCCCGACAAGGGGATTGATCCCACGACCCTGGGATCATGACCTGAGCTGAATCAAGAGTCGGACACACAACCAAGTCGCCCAGGTGCCCTAAAAACTATTTTTAAACTGTATTCCAGATTTTAAAAGGTTAGAAAGATTTAAGTTAAAAAAAAAAAAAAAAGCTCAAATACAACTTCTAGAAATACAACTATAATGTATGAAATGCAAAATATATTGTATGGGGCTCAAGGCAGGTTAGACATTGAAAAAGAAAATCTTAGTGAACTTGTAGACACAGCCAACAGAAACTATCCGACTGAGACAGAAAGAAAACAAAATTTAAAAAAAATAAGCAGAGCATTAGTGAGCTGTGACAGCAATCAATGCAAACAGCTTAATACAGGTTTAAGTGGGATCTCCACAGGAGATGAGGGAGGTAGGACAGGAAAAACACTGATGAAATAATGGTTAAAAAAAAAAAATCTTACTAATTTGATAGGAAAGACAAACCCACAAATCCAAGTTCAACACTTCCCAAGCAAAACAAACATGAGGAAAAATACAGCAGGATGCAGCACTACAACCAAATGGCTAAAAACCAGTAATGAAGGAAAAAAAGATACGTTTTATAAAGATGACAGATTTTCCATCAGAAACAGAGCAAGCAGACAGAAGAGGAACATTTTTTTTTTTTTCCAACGTTTATTTATTTTTGGGACAGAGAGAGACAGAGCATGAACGGGGGAGGGGCAGAGAGAGAGGGAGACACAGAATTGGAAACAGGCTCCAGGCTCCGAGCCATCAGCCCAGAGCCCGACGCGGGGCTCGAACCCACGGACCACGAGATCGTGACCCGGCTGAAGTCGGACGCCCAACCAACTGCGCCACCCAGGCGCCCCGAGGAACATCTTTAAAGTACGGAAAGTGTTAACCTGGGAATTTATACCCAGCAAAGTATCTTTCACAAATGAAGGCAAACTAAAGACTCTCTCAGACATACAAATGCTGAAAGAATTTATCCCCAGCAGACCCATACTAAAATAAAAGTCCTTTGGGCAGAAGAAGAGTGATGCTGAATAGAAATACAGATCTACACAAAGAAATGTAGGGCAAATGCCCACTGGAGCCACACAAGATGATACAGAAGGGTGGGGGCAAAGGGGTTCAGTTGAAACCTCCTCTAAAGGAGACAGCTGCTATTTGGCTATATAATGTGTTACCAGATCCTCCAAAAAGGGAGATGCTGAATATGAAATTTTCCAAATTTAAATTCAAGTCCAAGCAAAGCATGTCGTTAGCCTAAGAAAAGCCAAAGTTGCTGTGAGGTTAAAATATAGTCAAGTCCTATTCTAGGAAGAATACAGAAAACTTTAGCCCTTCCTATATACTTGGTAACTCTCCCAAGTTACAATCTTGGCTTATTAATGGTGGTGTATAGTTGTAGACAGGGTAAAATTTCACAAGTCTTTCATCCCTAAACTGTGGACTGGTGGCAGGCAAGGTCCACAGGCTTGGACCCATCTCAGGATCCCTGCTACCCAGTGTATCTGAGAGCCTCACATCAAGCTCAATAATTTTGGTCGTGGACTCTAATGTTTCAAGGCTACCACTTTCCTACATTTCCACAGAAGAAGACACAAAACTCTTTTCCTGTACAAGTAGAAGGATAAAACTGCAAATGGCTCCCTATGACCCAGAGAACACAACTTAAGACCTATAATCTGGCATTCAAGGCCTTCTTACTATCCAATGTGTCCATCTTCGGGACTTCCCTCTCCAGATGCTCACCCTTGGCCTCGGCCTGTGATACCCATTCCCTTTCTTCGAGGCCCAAGTCAACAATCAGCAACTTCTTCTCTGCCTCAGTCCTCAGGAAAAACTCAAAACCTCTACTTTCAATCATCCACTTAGCACACCATATCAGCTGTCTACACCGTGATTCCTCCCCAACACCCTGAGGATGTCCTGATGGCAAAAACATTGGTTCAGACTAGGGACCATGACTGGCACAGGATGAGATGTTCAGTGAACATTTAATAAGTACATTAATGTGTATGTCACTTTATCTCTTCCCCTTAACCAGTGAGACTCCTGGCAGAGGTCGGCCTGGTGTCTCGGGACCTTCTGCCTACCTGTCATAATAATCTCTGTGTCCCCTGTGGTCTCGGTCGCTACTGTACTGGTCATAAGGTCTTTTTCTGGACAGATTGTTGGGTCTGTAGCTCCCAGAGCGGTGGGCGTCCATGTGTCGCCGGTCCCCATAATGGTGGTCCTTGTACCAGTGCTGCTCATACTGGTGGTGCCGGTCACTACCCCACGGAGGATTGCTGTTGCCACCACCATAGTTGAACTTTCTTTCCCTCTGCCAGTCTCCTCGATCTGCAGGAAAAGAAAGAACAGTTTCATGACTTCAAAAAATGGCTGAATTTCACATCCACTGAAGTTTAAACTCAAAGGCTGACACGTTATATAAATAGACATTAAATTTCCTCCTTCCTAGCCTTTTTGCTGCTGGTAAACATACCAGTAATGAGTCCCAACCTTCTCTCCCTCAACTTTTAAGGCAAAAGAAGACTCACTGCTTTTCTCCTTATAAAATCATAAAAATTACTGCTTTTTCTTTTCCATGCCTCTTTACCCTCCAATCTGGGGCAGACCCTTAAAATCAGATTTCACTCAAAAAAAACCCCAGAAACAAAAAACAAAAAAAACCCCTAAACATTAATTCAGAAAACAGAACTGCTGAGATTCATAGCCATAAAGTGGTATCTTCTGTTTACACATCTCAACTTTATTTACCCACTGCTACAGATAACATGGTCAGCCAGTGCCTGGTCTCTGAAAATATTTCCAGGCTATTCATACTGATTCTACTACTACTCTTTCCCAGCCCACATCAAGGAGATAAACCTCCTCCTATAAAAAGTGAATCCTCTAACGTTGGATTTCGATCAATACACTAACTCTCAAAGGTAGGGCCAAACTGATATCTGTTTCAGCTTCTATAGCCTCCCTTTTCCTTCAGAAGAATCACACTTATTTTAATCAGAAAGGCAGTAAACACATAAAAGTCCAGAACGGAGGCTATAGTGGGTTTAAGTGTGACCCCCAAAATGTATGTCCACTCAGAATCTGTAAGTGACTTTACTGGGAGACTGGGTCTTTGCATATGTAATTAAGGATTTTGAGATGAGATCATCTCAGATTTAGGTTGGGCCCTAACTCCAATGACAGATATTCTTCTAAGAGAAAGGCAGAGGGAGGTCTGAGACAAGGAGACACTAGAGATGGAGGCAGAGATGGGAAGAACGCAACCAGAAGTCAAGTAGCAACGGGGGTTGCCGGTGGCCACTACAAGCCAAGAGAGAGGCAGGGACCAGATCCTCCCCCACATCTCCCAGAGAGAGACAACCCGACCGATACTCAGTGCAGACTTCTGGCCTCCAAAAGTGTATAAAAATACATTTCCCGGTTTGTGGCGCCTTAGGAAACTGGGACACAGGCTTACCCAGAAGAACTACGTGGCCTCATGGGAAATTCGTCTTCTATCTATAACTATATTAACACCAAAAATAAGCCACCAAGTAGATACCCCTCTACTCATGCTGCCGGTCTTCTAAATACTTTTCTATAGAGCCAAAGAATAATGAAGGAACCTGACGGCTTAGGAACTGATAACACACTCAGCCAGTGGCTTAAATTCCCTGCTGCTCTGGTTGTGGATCAGGCCAGAGGACCAAGAAGTAAAAAAACTTTAACTATTCAACCTAATAACTTAACAGACAACAACAAAAAGAGACACCTTCACAACATGAAAACCAATCACTTGGCGATGGCTTCAAATGGAAAGTAGTATTTCAAATGGGGTGTCAGTGTCTGCGGTATCATGGAGAGGCTTACAAATCAAGCCAACTCATTTATTTCCAGAGGAACTGAACAGTGCTTTTCTTTCTTCCTGAACCCATCATGAGGTAGGTCGCTGTTAGGAAGTACTGAGCTATTTAGCAGATGGGTGAAGAATCCAAGACTTAAATAAAAGACTACAGTGATATAAGAAGAGTTCTTTCAAAGGATCAGAATACAAAATCAGTGACATCACACGAATAACACAAAACCAGTCTGATCCCAGGAAGAAGTCAATACAGATAATACAATCAGATCTACGAACATGGATATATCTCGCTCGCTCTCCCTCTCACTCTCATTCTCCCTCTCTCTCTCTTCCTCTCAAGAGGAATTACTCTTGTAGAGTAATTACCTTTTGTCCCCCTGCATCAAATGGGGATCAATTAACTCAGAACTACTTAGATTTGTAACATTAGAAGACCTGGCACTTGTGCTTCCAGGCAATTCAGGGTAGCTTACAGCAGAATTACGCTCCGCCAAGGACAGTAAGAAAGGCCAGATAAACAAAAATTACCTGTTTGAGGACATCAAAGAGTAGACAGGGCATTCAGGACTAGACTAGAAGGCATTAAGACTGAAGAGCAGAAAACCTTAGAGAGGTAAGGTGACCGCTGTAGTCATTGGGGAGGCCTGTGATTCTGAGCAGAGGCAAAGAGCTGAACATCTGAGCTTTTACCAGCACAAGCTGAACCTTCGGTGGTCTTTCTAGGCTAGAGGGACATGGCAGACTTGAAGGGCTCAAACACACATCCAGTCTTCCCTTAAGATAAGTGCTGAATCGGGGCGCCTGGGTGGCGCAGTC